TAATTTGAGGAAGTGTCTCAGACATGACCCTCCTTAGTTCTCATTCAGACTTGCAAGATGCTGTTATTGTAAACTTATAATAAAGTAGTACTAGGATTCATAACTCTGGCACCCTAGTCTGGTCTACCTTGAAGGGCTGCTCTTCTGGCAATGACACTTCAGGAAGGGATGGAAGTCTCCAATTCTTCTCACCCCAGCCAGGATGCTAAAATATTCCTCTTTCCATTTACAATCCAATGGATCCAGAGGAAGCTGAAGAGCTGTGTAGCACGTCCTATTGGAGAGGCACCTTCCCAACCTTCTGATCATGAACTACATTAAGATATTTTATCTCCCGTTGCTTCTATATAGCAATGGGGATGTGTGACCTTTCTAGAATTGTTGGATAATAACTCCCAGCATCCTTCACTATTGGCTATGCTAATTCAAACTGCTAAGAACTATAGCTGAACCACATTTGAAAAGCTCTAAGTTCTATTGAATATTGAATCTTAGTAAACTGAGCAAAGTCAGGGAGGCAGTGAAGAACAGGAAGGCCTAGCGCGATATGGTTCATGGGGTCACGAAGAGTCGGACACAACTTAACGACTGAACAACAAATAAGTCTCATGCTCATATGTGAAAGCAAATTTACAAAATAGGCTGTGAGTGCTCAGCAGCTATTGATCCTGACAACTGATTGATGCCTCTTTTCTGCAGAGAGGACAAGGAGAAGAGAAGTTGTATAGCAGTAGTAGTATAAAACAATGTAACAGCTTCCATGTTCCTTCCTGCCAGAAATAGGGTGCAGAGGTGGAAAAGCATCTGAGCAGGCAGAAAAAGATGCCTGTAGTTATTGCCGTGATTGACAGCTAGAGGTGGGAACCCAGACATTACAGAAGACATGGAAGCCTAGGGGCAGAGGGCTGGGTGACAAGATCCATCACCAATCACATGGTGTCCCTTGTTTCGCACATTAAAGTGAGGCTCATCAAATGTATTTGAAATGAAAAGTAGCCATCAATCAGCATTCAACCCAATGTTTCTTGCATACTTCCTCAATGTGAACAAATTGATTTATTTATATAAAATAAACCCATGGACTTATTAAGAATTTAAACTGTACACTAAGCAGTCCAGAGTGGTTGCGTATCCTTTTAAGCCAATGATTTTACAGATCTGATTACACAGATTATTTTATACAGATTAAATAGACAGTGGAGATTAAGCATGATTCCTTGTAATCAGTGAAACACTCTTGGTAATCTAGAAAGATCTAGAGTATGCCTTCTAAAAGGATCCCCACCTGGCCACCCTTAATCGTTCTTGATATTAGGGCTATGCAGTGCTTCAAAAATAAACCAGAAGAGCTACTTCAGAGCATTTAGACATGCAACACAGCATCTGTCTACAAGACGTTAAAAAAGACACAATTTTCCAGGGATTGTGCAACCGTAAGCAAGGGATTGTGTGACCTGGCCAGGGTTGCTAGTAATATCAAATTGTTCATGGTACTAAAATAACTTTAAAAGTATTGTATAGGATCTCTCCAAACTCTCAAAATGGCCAGTGTGTGGAAAACAGTGTTTTTCTGCCCAGTATTAGAACTAGGGGCCATCCCGTAAAGCTCCACGTGGGAAGACGCAGCATTGATAAAAGGGCATTCTTCTTTGCACAATGTGGCATTGACGGCAGAATTTGCTGCTACCACATGTAATGACGGCTAAGTTTCAAAGGCGACTGGCCTGATTCATGGAGAGTTGACTCTGGGCAGCTGTGTCCTACCTCCAGAATCACCTAACTTCAACGGCAGCTACGGGGGAGTGACCGCGTTAGAGAGCTAGCCGTGAGCTTATTCTTCAGTTCACCTGCTTGGCTGCTGCATGTCACAGATTGCTGAATTAGATAGGCCGTGGGTTTGGCCCAACAAAGTGTGGCTTACGTTCCTGTGCATTAAGGAAGTTTGCAAGCGTGGACTGAACAGGAAGGAAAACCCTCTGGTAAGGAGCATTTCAGATAAGCTGTCTGTGATTCCAGAGGTGGAATACAAAACAAAGATATCTTATCCCATTGATTTTTTTTCTCCCCATCTCGTGTACATCCCAGAAAATTAAGCATCTTTAGCATATGAAGCCTCGGCTAAATATAAAAAAAAAATAACAGTGACAAAATAATCGATACGCTTTCATCCAGTCTCGGTTGGCTTTTAAGGCAAATTAGATTATAGCCTGCTTTGGAGCTCTGGCCCCTCATTTGGGCTGAAAGTACTAAGTGGTGAAGTGTACTCTGCACATGGTCAGAGGCTCTTGATAGCTAATGCTTATCAGTCTTTTTATGTTCAAGCCATCGGTAAAACCTATAATAAATTGAGGCTCTTATTGTGTGAAGGTTTCAGAGGAACCCTCCTGAATAGCTTCCCAAACCTGCTGCCCTCCAGATGTGTTTGACTCCAGTTTTCAAAATCCCCAATCTCTGACCATGAAATTATGGGATTGCCTGTCATGGGGGGCTCGGATTCAGAGTCAGAAGACAAAGAAGGGCAACCAGCTCCTGAAGCAGCCTTGGAGGACAAGCAGTCAGCTCTGGGGTCACCGGACGAACAGTCGCCTGATCAGGCAGAGGGAGTGGGGACGGCCAGCGATCCGTGGGGACAGCTGCCGCAAGGAGAGCTACAACTTCAAGACTGGTGTTGGAAACAACCATTTGGTGAGTCCAACTCTCTCTGCCTTGCCTTTTGGCTCTGAACCCAGACCGGCCGATGAGCTCGCTAACCCTTTAGATCCCTGGCTTTGCCTGACCATTCTTGCGCCTGCTCCTTGGACGCTGAACTCTTTATTTAGGCAAGTTTGCTGGACTTATGAGAACTTGGTTGCTTTTGCGTGTGTGAGTTTGCACATAACTTTTCTGTTTGTTGCTGCTTGCGTAAGGAAAAGTTTGCAACTACCTCTTGTGTATGTGTGTGCGCGCCTGCCCTGAGCAGGACATTACCTGGTTGGGGGGAAATGTATGCAATCATCAGGGTGCCTCTGCCATGAACCTCACATGGCCAATCTTTCAGCCTACCTCAGAGGGTTGTTGTAAAGATCAATAGAGGGACTATAAACCTTGGGTGGAAAACCAAGACAGAAATGAAATCAGTTAAAAAGACGCCCTTCCCAAAGGAATCGCATTCGATCAGCCGGACATCTTTCCGCTACGGAGGAAGACGGGATCAAGAGGCTGTTCTCACGTTTCTTCTATCCGCCTTAAATCAGCGTCCATGCACTTGCTCCTAAGGAACAGGCAAGGGCCTCTCCCCAAGCGGGTCACCTCCAGATGAGTCGGACTTCATACATCCAAGTCCCGCGCATCTGGAAGGAGCCTGTCAGGGAAGCGCGGCTGGACTACTTTCCTCCTGCACTTTCGGGACGCCCCAGAAACCTGGCAACTCCTGCCGAAGAAACCCTCCGGTGGAAGGCGGGACATTGCGGCTGGGATACGCGGGGCCGTGGTGGGGTTGGTTTACTCACTCTGTTTTGATTCAGCCTTACCGCGAGCCGCCTAGGATCGTATGCGTCTGTAAGTAAGTAAGTAAGTAAATAAAAAATAAAAAAAATTAAAAAAAAGCAAACCAGGACGGTCGGTTTGGGAAAAGGGAAGGCGGGAGGCCTCGAGTATCCGGCGCCCAGACGCGGCGGGGAAAGAAAGCGCAACTCGCCCGGCCATTACGTACCATCGCATTGGAGCAATTCACCAGGCAGACGACCGTCAGGACAATCCAGCGCCGCTTGTAAACCTTGAAGGTGGTCGGGGAAGGCTGGGGCTCATGGTCGATGCAGCGGCTGTCATCCATCGGAGCCTTCCTCCGCGCCGTCCTCCCCTCGACCGGCCGAGCCTGCTCACTGGAAAGGCGCCTTCGCGCGGCTACAGCAGCTTCTGAGCCGTCATCGCGAACACGGGGCTGCCTGGAACGTCCGAGTCGGCAAAAAGAGTTGCCACATCGCGCGAGGCGGTCCTGAAAAGCCGGTTCCCGCCGCGGGCGAAGCTCTCGCCTCCGCAGCGGTTGCGGCTGCCGCGGGAGACTGGCCGGGCCCTCGCTTCGGGAAACAGCCCTCCGCGCCGAAAACGGGTCCGCGGGATCCTAGCGCCTGCCCGGCTAAGTCCCCGCCAGGCTGCTCACCGCCGGCCTTGCCTCGAAGCTCTGTTCTCAGCCTGTTGCCCTTCACGTGCGGGGCTGAGGTGCGGGGGTCTCAACCAGAAGCAGCCCCAGCCCAGGCAGTGTAGGCTCGGTGACGATCTGAGCTGAAGGCCAAAGCATCTGGAATGCCCCAGGTGGGTGCAAGGCCCTTTGAACATCCAGGAAGGCGGAAGACTGGAGGATCCTAAAGAAGTTTGGTTTTCCAGAGAAAGGGTGCCTTTGGCCCCCCTTCACCCAAAGGTGCAGAAAAGTTCCCAAACCAGTGGGGGCTGGTCTCTGCTTTCTGAATGCAGAGAAAGGATGGGTGCTTGGCAGCGTTTAGCAGCCCAGTGTACTGTTTGATAGAGGCAGACGACCACCTTGGGCATCAGCGTTTGAGTCACATAAGAGAGGAGCTTCTTTTATTTTTTTTAAATATGCATAACTTCTAAGTGATGCCATGACTACTGCAATACGATTGCCAAGGACTGGGGCAGGACCCTGTGGGGTTTGGCTTTATTTATTTACTTACTCATGTCAGGTGCCAAGATCTTGGTTGACTTTACACATGCAAGAAGAAACCACTTGCAGATGGGAAATCTCTTCTACTGTTCCAGAGGGGACCCAGCATCACTCCCTTTGAAGATGAGCAACCTGCGGGTACCCATGGATCTGAGAAAGCATATTGCGGGGATTCTCACAAACTGGCTGCAATTGTATGTTTGGGGGGGGGGGGGGGAGGAACCAAAAAAGTCCATGTAGTAAACATGGTCAATCATACTCTGCCCCCAATTATCAGCCAGCAAACTGCTGAAGTTACTCCTTGTCTCTTTTCTAAATCCCCCCTCCTGAAGCTTTCTATGAGCACAGTTGACTTTTTCTTTCATTCCAGGCAGGTGGATGAGCTGGACTACAGGTAGTCCTCGGGTTACGACTACTCATTCAGCGGCCGTTCAAAGTTACAATGTTGATTTCCAACATTCCCTGCCGAGCAAAGTCGATGGGGAAGCCAGCAGGAAGTTGGAAGTTGCCTTTATGACTGCATCACTTAGCTATGGAGTTCCCAGTCCCAGTTGCCATCGTAACCCGAGGACTATCTGTAGAGCATCCACCATTTTTTTTTTTACTTTCTAAGAAAAGAAAATCTGTGTTTTAAATCAGTTCAACTCCATTCAGTTCAGGTGTGGTGCAGAGCAAGTAGATGCCAAAGGAGCTTCTGTGAAATTTTGGGGCCCAGCCAGCCCTGGATTAACCATTAAGTAAAGTAAGTGTGTGCTTAGGGCACCAAAGGAAGGGAGCGCCACAGAGTTTTCCCCCCGTGGCTATATCTCCTTAACTATTTCACTCAACTTTAGTTTTCAGCACTTAGTGAATCCTAACGTCTTGTCCGTTAAGCAGTCCATTAATGGAAGGTTGGGGGGCACCATTGTTGGGCTGTGCTTAAGGCATCTGTTGGCCTTAATCTGGCCCTGCAGCCAGTAACCATCAGATAGCTACTCCCTGGCCTAAATTATTTACTGCGCTACTGTTCCACCTCTGCTGATAGGCATCTTCCATTTGAATCCAGGAGGACTCCAGTGGCTTTAACACAGTAGGTGATGAGTGTGTGTTCTGAAATAAGTCCCATTGGCTGTCTTCACACAATTCACTTAACTAGGTCAGGTCAAGCCCTATGGATGCATTGCTGAATATTAATCTTAGGCTGTACCACTTTGGACAACGGAAGGGAAATACAAGTTTTAAATGCCCATATATTCAGAAAAATAAATATCCCTGCAAGTTTAAAACTGATTGAGTAAGAAGCAAGGCCCAGATTAGAATCCTTCTCTCATTTTAATTGTAGGCGGAAGACAAATGGTATCACTCTGCCCACAGGTAGTCCTCACTTACTGACTGCACATTCAGTGACCATTTAAAATTACGACAGCAGTTTCCGATGGAGAGGTGTTTGGGAAACTTCTTTCCTCAGATCTTAAAATAAGTTGAGTGGCCATAATCAGGCAGGAAGGAGAAGTGGAAACCATTTGAGTTTAATCCTGGGATTGCACTCAGGTTTGGCAATTCACAAGGTCATTCCAATGGGGATAAGGATTCCCAGAAAGAAGAATCATGGCCTGAAGGGACAGGATTACCACTGCTCTTAGTGGAGCCCAGGGTTTTATAGGAAGAAGCAACACCACATTCTAGCATCTTATCTCTCCTAAAGGCATTTTCTAAGTCCACCACATTATTCTGGGAGAAGAGTTGGATCTCCATTTCACCTCGTCTTTGGCTCAAAGTGAAGGTGTCTCCTCAGCCATCCCTTAGCATGAGATTTGTGAAGTGCCTCCAGCTTCCTACCCTTGAGAGGCAGGGCCAGCCTCTAGGACTCTTAGGCAGAATGAGGTGCAGAGGCTGGGGGTAGAAGCAGGGAGAGGACAACAGCCACATTTTAAAGATCAGAGCTGTGTACTGTATGTCAGCTTGCTGGCCTGACATCCCCAGATTTTATTTGCTGCTCTCAGGAGTTGCGTTGGCTGAACTTTGAAGGAGAAGTCTAGGCCCCATTCTGCAAGATGAACAGAGGCTCTCCTGTTCAAATTCACATTCTGATTTGCCTTCTAAAGAGGATGAGAGAAAAAGAACCTTTAAGATCAGAATCTAAAATGATCTGGCTGCATCACAGCTCTGATGGGGCAGAAAACACTGTTCTAGTGTCAGTTTCCACTGCCTGTTAGTTCAGCTTGGAAATGGAAGAAATTTCAAGCAGTATAATTTCTGCTGAGGTCTGACGAAGCAGCAATTGCTCATATGGCCAATGACTCAGTTCCCACAGACACACCCACTGCTGAACCAACAACTTGGCACTTCTAGAAAGGCATTCACAAATGTGTTGTTGATGCATATTGTGGACAGCATAGTAATGCAGTTGTTGGCGATCCTTCCTTCCACCCTTTTTCTCCTTTTCTCCTTTGTTATTGTGGCCTGACTCTGGGGAATTCATATCTGCTCTGACATACAGTGTGATCCTCATGGAACGATGCAGATGTCAAGGAGACCCTGACTTTTTCAGGTGTTACAACCTTGTAAGTGCGGTGGGAAGGCAAGGATGCCTTCAAGGATGCCTTCAATCCTTGCCTTCTCCATTCCAACTCTCCATGTGGAAGGAGCATCTAGAGTGGCATGGCAAACACGGTTAAAATATAGGTCTTCTTTAACAACAAGGTCTTCAGGTCTTCTTTAACAACAAGGGGTGCGTGGATGAGGTAGAGTGAGCATCTCTGAAGAAGCTACTGATGAAAAAAGAGCATGCCTTCTTGAAGTTCAGGCTGCCCTAGATGGTGCCGTCCAGTTGTGTTGGACTACAGCTTCCAGTATTCCCGGCCAACATGGCCAATGGCCTGTCAAAGTATCTGGAGTACACCAGTTCTGGAAATGCTGCTCTGCTTAATTTTTTTCTAATTAGCAGTTGAAGTTGTTCAAAGAGTTTCATGTATATTAAGTCAGTTGCCCTACAGCAGTCTTATAAAGTAGGCCACTGCCAAACTAATATAAAGTAAGGAAAAAAGAAAAGAAAAATAAAAAAGAAAGAAAAAAGATACAAAGAAGTAGCTTCCAATCTTCTTTACAGCATTTCTAAGTACAATTATAAATTTACCTCTTACTCTATGGTTACAACATGTCTGTCTTCTTTCTATAATCTATCCTGTCTCATCCTCAAAACCATAAATCATTTTTAATATAATTGCCTTAAAGATCTTTTCAAAAGGAAGATAAAAACTAATACTAATATAAAGTAAGAAAAAGAAAAGAAAAAGAAAGAAATTGAAGAGAAAGCTAAAAGTGTGAGAAAGGAAAAAAAGTAAAAGAAAAATAGAGAAGGAAAAAAAGGTACAAAGAAAACAAAAAGGATAAAGAAAAATGTTACATTGCATTAGTTTTTATCTTCCTTTTGAAAAAAAAATCTTAATAAACATTATATATGTAAAAAAAAGGGAGGACACAGCCAGTATCATCTCAAATTGCTGAAGAATTGTGTGTCCGACATTTGCCCTATAAGTTAGGGTTTACTAAATAAACCCTAATGGGCTGGATTCATCCATAATGCAATACTATAAACCGCAATTTGGCTACGTTTACTCACCATGCTAGGCCAAAGCCAAATCATGACGACTTTGCCCAATGTGCAAACCCAATCAATATGTCACCCAAGAATTTGTGGATATCCTGGAAGATAGTTTGTACTCTTAGCCTTTACTCTATAGTAGCTTTTATTTGCTTTTCTACACTTGCAAAGACAGAAAATACCTAATTTTTCCCTTCCTCCCAAACTAAGTTTGTCTACAATCATATTGCAAGAGTTTTGCTTAGATCCTGGGTGGACAACTTCACCAGTTCGAGAGCTGCATCAGGCTTTGTGTAGTAGTAGTCGTTTTATTTACTATATGCTTATAATGAAGCACAATACATAGAATAAAATATCAAGTGATGCCTAGGGAGAAAGATCTCAGATTGTAGCACGAGAAGCACGCAGAAAGTAAGGGCCACTTATGCTTTGAAAACATAAGACGATGTTTTCGATGTTTAACTCAGATGTTAAGATTTCCTAGAAACATAGTAGTATATTGAGGGCCATACTCCAAAAATGGACTTTGGTGCAGGGAGTCAGGAATCTTAAGAAGTAAAATGGGCATTTTTAGCAAGATCACCCAACACCCATTTTGCTTCTTAAACTGCCCACTTCCCTCCAAAGGGGGGGTGGGGAAGCTAACATGTTTGGCCCAACCATCTTGAGGCTACAAAGGAGATACTAGCAGGATGTCAGCAACCCCTAGACACCAGTTTTGCACCTTGGACTTAGATGCAAAACTGCCTTGTATTCACTGTTGGCCCATCTAATTCAGTATGTCTGGGCTAACCAACAGTAGCTTTCAGGGTTAGGGTTAACTTTCTTTCATAGCCCATTATTTTGAATCCCGCTCTTTTTGTGGGCTCGGTCATGAAGCCACTACCATTTATTTCTTTTGCCTTATTTGTACTGCGTGTAGTCGTACCAACTGAACTGCCATACAAAAACGTGTTGCTGTACTATAGCAATGAATCCAGGGTCCCTTCAAAACCAGAATCTGAAAGCTCACTCCTACTTCCTATAGTTCAGGGTTTCTCAACCTTAGCAACTTTAAGATGTGTGGACTGCAACTCCCAGAATTCCCCAG